CGCCTGCATTTTTTTAATCATAATAATAAATGTTTTTTGAGCAGCAAATCAGAACATTAGAATGATTTCTGAAGGATCATGTGGCTGGAATGATGATGCTAAAAAGTCAGCTTAGAAATCACAGGAATAAAACCGTTATTTTAAATAGTAAAAAATTTTCAACGTTTTACTGTTTTTGTTGTACTTTGGATCAAATAAATGCAGGCTTGGTGAGCAGAAGAAACTTCTTTAAAAACATTACACATCTTACTGTTATGAATGTATGTATATATTTTTTAAATTAATTAATTAATCACTATTATTATTATTATTATTATTATTATTTTTATCTGTGCATCACATATAATACATTTCACTGGCAGCCAATTTTGAGTGACCGAGATGTGTGCATGATCATAGAGTAGAGTTTGAGAGATAAGAAATGTGATAGTGGCACAATATTTTCTTCTCCTGTGAAATGTTTTTATTTTAAAATTTAGTCTTTAAACTCAGAAACATGCTTCATACATTGTAATTGTGTAATGTGTAATTATTAAACTATATCAATACAGTTTTTTATTTAATTTGGATACATTTTCTTTTCTAAACTGTTACATATAACAAACATGTGAACACATTTAATGTGAATGAGAGTTGTGCTTGTCTCAGATGGCTTTAGTTGGCTGATGGTATTTTACCCATTAAGTGTTTTTTCGTATTTTGCTCTGGCCTAAATACAATAATGAAACACTTAGGAGCAAAAATACAGAAACTCAAACCAAAGCTTGAAGCTAAAATGGCAAATATCTCCACAGCTACAGTAAATTTCCCAGGAGAGCTGACATAAGCAGGAATAAAGGTGATCCATACAGCACAGAATATGAGCATACTGAATGTAATGAATTTAGCCTCATTGAAGTTATCAGGCAGCTTGCGGGCAAGAAAAGCTAAAACAAAGCAAAGGAAAGCTAGGAGGCCAATATATCCCAGAACTGCCCAGAAACCTATAGCTGATCCTAAACTGCATTCTAGAATGATCTGTTCTTTGTAGTGTTGCATATTCTTGTAAGGAAATGGAGGGGATATCATTAACCAAAGCACACATATAAGTACCTGTACAAGAGTGAAACCCAAAACACTGAGTCTCTGTTGAAGAGGCCCAAACCATTTCATGACATTACTTCCTGGAAGTGTAGCTTTGAAAGCCATTAACACCACTATTGTTTTCCCAAAAACACAGGAGATACAGAGGACAAAAGTGATCCCAAATGCTGTGTGACGCAACATACAGGACCACTCAGTGGGCTGACCAATGAAAGTAAGTGAACAGAGGAAACACAGAGTCAATGAGAAGAGCATCAGGAAGCTCAGCTCTGAGTTGTTGGCTCTTACTATTGGAGAGGCCCTGTTTTTGTAGAATACTAAAGTTATGCTTAAAACCACTAAAGAGCCAGCAACAGAGAAAGCAGCCAGTATAATCCCAAGCATCTCATCCCAGGAGAGAAACTCCACTGGTTTAGGAAGACACTTGTCCTTCTCATTATTGGGCCAATACTCAGGTAGGCATTCGTGACAATCTAAAGAATCTGGAAGATGAAGAAATCAGTGCTTAACAGCCATTCATGAACCACATGAACAAAATAAAGACATATAGGTGATTAGACTATGCTGTTTTAAAATGACGAAATCAGGGAAAAAAGGCTCAATGACACAATGCTCTTTTTGTCCTATACATGAATTTACTAAAACTAATATTATTAGTTAATAATATTATTATAAAAAAAAAAAATGCAATTAAATAAAACTTCTCAGAAGTGCTCCTAAGAATAGTCTTAAGTTTTGACTTAAAAGTTTTGACTTAGTAAAAAGTATGACTACTCATATATTGTTGTAAGCTTTTTAAAAAAATAATCTAAAAGCAATGTCTTAGACAGATTTACAAGTGCTGACTGAGTTCACACATAGGCGGAAAACCCGGGGGGGTCGGGGGGAAAGGTCCCCCCCATCTAAGGGTTGCCCCCCCTCCCTAAAAATATGATTAAAAACCACGCTGTGCATTGTAAATAACAATGTTTTAAACGTTAAATAATTGTGTAAGTAGTAAAACAACACAAACGGGGCAAAAAGGCATTTTAAGTTTAGAAACATTTTGAGTTTTCCCCTCCCTTGCCTCTGCTTTGGTCCAAATGCCTGCTTTCCTCTTTTACATCACCTAAACACTATTATTACCTTCCCTGGGAATAATGTGATGCTGCCTTAGAATCTGGTCAAACGAGGTATCTAGACAACAACATAATGTTTGTCTACTGTACTATTCACTTACCTAAGGAGACTTAGCAAATGTAGCATACCTCAGATTTAGATGTCATAATTATGTGCAAATTAAGTAATTTTCGTTGGAAAAAAACAAGGCAATTTAAACATCGGATGAAGTGATTATTTTCTCTTTAATACAGATGATGCCAATATATTTTTCGATGAGTCCACTATGTTAGCAATAATTATGTTACCTGCTTGAGGGAAAGGGTTGCCAGGTTTTCATAACAAAACCCGCCAAATTGCTACTCAAAACTAGCCCAAACTATCTGCGTTTCAAAGGGGGTCCCCCGGTAAAATCACGTTCCAGGGGCTAAAATAAACGTTACTGGGGTCGCTTCAAACATAAAAAAACAACCTGCAGCAACAGTGATATAGTAGTCCAATTCCACAGGAAAACCGCGGACTTGGCAACACTGTGACGGATAGTAATGTCTACAACGGACACGACCTCTGTCACGGCGCAACCACAACAGCTTTAAGTTGTCTAATTTGGCATGGCCTCCCTGCTGCACTAATAGTAGTAAGGCTTTCCTCTGTGTATTCATATCCTTACAAGTACAATTTTAGCTGCATTATTTGTGTCCCCTTCAAAAATTGCTCTTGAGAAATGTTATGTTTATTGTCTCAAAGTAAAGTCTCAAAGACCTCAAATGTGTGTTTTAGATAAGAGAGACATCAAAAACATGCAGTGTTGGGGGTTCTACAGGACCAGGATTGGGAACCACTGTCATATAATATATACATTATATACACAATAAAGAGTTACAATACATTCATAGAAATTCAGTAAATCAGCATATCAATAGATTTAGATTTCACTTGTTTGTTTAACTATGAATTAAGTGTGTCTAAATTCACTATTATGCAAGTCTAAAACACTTTTTTAGTGTATAAGAGTGTGTGGTTTCAACATATCACAGTCATCATAGTACTCCAAACTAGGACAGGAGACATCTCTATCACTCTTGAATCGTTTAGAGCTGAGGCCTAGAGAACACTTATGTACTTTTATGAATCACACTTAATTTCGTATCCATATAATAGCAGTGTAACATTTAACATTTATTATTTATCATTATATAAACAACAGGGTGAGTAAATACTGACTGAATTTTATTTTTTGAGTGAACTATCCCTTTAAGTGTAGGGATAAGGGCAAAATTACATCATTCTCAGAATTTAGAAAAAAAAAAAACTTAAGACTAAAAATTGTCCTCGTATTTTTTAATAGATTAATAATTATTACATTAATTTTTGATGTATTTTTGGGAGGGATTAATTCAGGGCGAGTAAGCTAAAGGTATGATGAAATAATTATTTAATGTTTAATAGAGGGCTAGATGGTCGTAGTTAGTTGATTATTTTGCTGTATTGTTATTGATTGTTGCTGTTCAAGTTGTTCTAACTTAAAATGACGCATCTGTTAAATGGGTCGCATTGAATGTGTTATGTCAGGGAATCGGTCGCAATAAGCTTGTGTTTCATTGTAAAGCAGACACAATTAAGTATTTCTGGTGGTTGTGGTGGTATCACTTGTCTGTATTTGTGGTAAATCTGCTGCCTAAGACATAGCCTATTATTTCCTGATGTCAGATTTTCAAATTTGTTGCCTATGCAATTTTGTTTTATTCAATAGCTACTCTGCCATCTGTATTTGCTAAGTACCTTTTAGTAGGGTAATTCACTCAGAACACATTTTTCAATCCACCGCGGTTCTTTTCCATTGTATTTCAAACTAAATGCGCTAAGGACGTCTTTGAATTTGTGTTTGAATGCTGCGCGCATCTCAGGTCTTTATAGCAGCTTGTCGCGCATAATAGGCTACATCATTCTAAAAAACGGCGCTCAAGTTCAAAGAAATGCAGCTTCTAAAAACTTCCACTGACCTGCCTCGTGACCAAAACACTATCTGTGTGAACCCAGTATTCTAATAGTAACGTTAGCGGGCAGGTTTGTTCACGGTCTGACAAATACGTGAATGGGCCACAATTATTATTTTTTATTTTTTTACTTTGTGCTACGTCATCGCCCCCTTTCGTTACCTCAGCCGCCCCCTCATCAGTGCTGCGCTGGCGCCGGCTCTGGATCAATTAACGCATCTCTGATATCCTACACAGGACAAACTGTATGGAGAATGGCTTATGGATTGATAGAAATATAAAGTAAAAGTGTCAGGGTGATACAATTGTCCTCGTATTATAATGAAGAAGAAAAAAAGCCTTGTTAAAAGAAACAAATTATTGAGACGACGCATTTATCATTATTATTATTATTATTATTATTGTTATTATTATTATTATTATTATTATATTTTTTTCCTCTCTCTTTAATTTATCATGGACACTCTTATATATTACTGACCTATAAAAAAAAATATGATTCATTCACAAGAATATGACAAGAATATGTTCTGAAAAAGTACCTGTCTCATTACTGATTTCTCCTTCTCCACAATTAATACAGTCATAACAGCAGACAGGTCTTCCTTCCTGTGCAGCCTTCCTAGTACCTGGAGGACAGCTCTCACTGCACACAGACACCGGCACCTGCAGGTGACAGAAATTAAACAATGCTTCGGGCAAAATAGCTAATGGTTTATTTTAATTAATTTATTTAATTAAACTATATGCCATGAACAATACATGTGTTTTAAATTGTCTACATATGTCTACAGACACTCCCATAAAAACAAGGGGTAGCCTACTGCACATAAATCTTAATCACAAACACACAGAATAGAACTAAACTTTATACCTTTTCACTGCCATCATACCAAATGATAGCTCTGCTCAGACTGAATTCTTGGCCTTTAGTCTTGGATGCATCATATTGACCCACTGTCACAAAATCAACTGAACCGTGTCCCTGAAGCTGCCAATTCACAAATTCATAGGTAGCCACAGGGTCTCCGTTGGTATCGAATGAAACAGAATAATTATTTTTAGTGAAGTTCAGTCGCTTGAGTTGATCAAAAACCTGCATGATGGGTTGTTATTTCAATTATTTGTTGAATAATCAGCACACAAATACTGGGAGTGCTATATCCAGAAGGTGATGGAATATTAAGATTTTTAAATATGTGTTGTGAATGAATCATCAAAATTTAGTTAACATATTTCACAATGAGAAAACGTACCTGCCGGGGCTCAACTTTGATGTTTTTGTCACATCGCATTTCATGACAGACGATGCCATGGAGGGCATGAGCTACAGCGTAAGTGGCTTTGTACACCAAATAGGATGTGTCTGTGTACGGGTTCTGTAAAGCGCGCAGGTCCTCTGTGTCATCACATGCTGGCATACCAATAGAAGAACCTATTTGCTGTTTTAAACTACAGCTAAATGAACTTTCCCAGAATTCTGTGAGCAGGGGGAATTTTAGCGCTTGTTCTGGAGACAGGTCAAGTAGAAAGTTGCGAAAACCCGGAATAACAGACCGCGGGATTGCAAAACCCTATATATATAATAGTTAGCACACACCTGTGTGATTCCAAGAGGACCAAAAAGTCTTGAAATACTTATAGCTGCAGTGGAAGCTGAATTTCCGATTAGTGTGGGAACTGGATTCAATTTTGCACAGGAATCAGTGTCGTTAAATACAGGATCTAGTCCGTTGACAAGTTGCAATGCTACTTTGATTGCCATTGTCACAGAGGCACAAGTGTCATATATATGGTACCCTAAAGTGATGCCCGGTAAGAGATCGGAGCTGTTGTTTATCTCTTTGATGGCGAACTGTAAGGCACGAGCAAAGTGTAGTTCTCTGAAGTTCATACTGTTGAAGTGCAC